AGTGCAAAAAATTTTTTATTGTCCATGGTTGGTAGCCCCAGGGCATTAGCCAGTTGAGGCTTCCTATTTTTGCACCTGTGCAAATGCACACCCCTCCAGCTCTGGAATTTAACAACTTGGGCTATTTAAAAAACTGTTTGCACATATTTGGGGCACCAAAACATTAAAAGATAGTGAGCCACTGACAGTCAAGCCTCCCGTGTGCCTCTTTGGGATTTTGGAGGGGCTGTCAGGGGCTGTCAAAATGGAGATGGCAAAAAGCAGCGGGGGGAGGGAAATGGCGAGGAGAGCCTTGGCGAGCCAGAGTGGTGCCTGGCTGGCAGGGCAGACGGATGGAGATGCAGAATGCCCTGGATGCCGGCTGGTGGACCGGGAGGAAAGGGTGGTGATCACAAACCACAGTAAATCCCACCTATTGCTGGGTGCGGCGCTGGTGGTCCTCTCAAAAACCTGCCCACCACGGCTTATTGCGAAGGAAGGAGTGCTGGTGTGTCAAAACCTGCTCTTGGAGAGAAGGTCCAAGTCTTTTATCAGGCTCTCTGCAAGCTGTATTGATTTCCTCTTGCGCAGTCATGAGTTGGCTGGAAGCTTCTGGAGGAGGGCTTTTGCTGGCACCCTGATCTCCTCATACCGCCTCCTCCTGGGCTGTCAGCTGTGCCCGTGGCTAAACGGCTGGTGCTTCCAGCCACCCTCCTCCTCCCAGTTCCTGTATCCCAGAGTTTTGGTGAGGGGAAGGTATCCCTGCCCCAGCCCCCAACTCCCATATGCTTACGTGTCTCAGCAAAACTAGGTGGGTCAAAGGAAGTTTGGTTTGTCCTCTGTCCCTCCCAAATAAATACATTTTATGATTTTACTGCAGTCCCTATTTTATATTGTATTTTATGAGTGTGCTAAACCACCCAGAGAGGTTCATCTATTGGGCCGTATAGAAATAAAATAGTAATTATAGTAATTATTACAAATTGCTACTCTTATTATTTATTCTGTGCAGAAAGATTGACATTCACTGTGGTGCTGGGAAAGGACTGCTGGTCATTTTTCTTGAGTCAGTCTAGCAGTAGGTTTGTGGCGAACGTTCCCGCCGACATGAAGTGCCGTTGTGCTTTCTGGTGACTGAGGCTGACTTGCCACGCCTCCTGGATGTACTCTGTAATGCACAGAAGAAAAAAGTGCTTTTTCTTTTTTATTCATTCTCTCTCGCATGCATGCATGCAGGGTAGTTTCTTTATGTGATTTTGGAGATGCTGGAAGAGCAGGGAGGGTGCAGTGCCGTGGCTGCCAGCATGCCATCTGATGTGAAAATGGAAAGTCTGTGTTTTTCAACGCTGCGTTAATTTTGTTGGCTCCTGGCACTCGTTGCATGTAGGATTTGGAAACAGATTGGATTGTCTAAAATAGCTGTTTTTCTGCTGCCTTCCTTTGCTTTAATATAACACGTATCTGTTTGCCAGTTTGCCTTCTGATGGCCACAAAGAAGGCCCGGCCTGGCCCAGGTAGGTGCTCCTGCTTGCCTTCCAGTAAGTGACTGGGTGATTCCGGCCCAGCGTTGCTCACCTTCTTTCAAATGTATCTTCACATTATTAGTGGCATTTAAAAGATGAAACTTGCCTTTTCAGAAAGCATTGTTTGAATTAAGAAATGAGGTAATGTAATTAGGTAGAGGGCTAACGCCAAAGAAAATGTTGCATACTTACCCCAAAATGCTAATTGTGCTGGATGTCAACGAGGATGAGTGTGCCAAAGAATGTTTCTTATTATCTGGTAGCACAACTCAGAAGTTCCAAAAGCATAAGGTCAAGTGTGTCAAGCTGCCACCTTGCAGTGTGTTTGTAGGCTCAACACTTCCCCTAGAAAAGGGAGAGATGCACCCCACCTGCCCACCACCACCACCATTTCCACAGCTTCTTTCCAGAAGCTGCTGGAACAGGGGTTGGCATGAATTAGCACCTTCCAGGTGAGGCGAGAGCAATGCAGGGGCGGTCCTCTGAAGATTGTCTGGAAATGCCAGAAAGCAGCTGCTGTAGTGCTAACATGTTACCAGTTTCCAAGCATTTGCACCCTCTCCGGTCTGTTTCTCAGCCCAAATCAAGGTGGTGGGGATACCCTTTTAGTGTCCCCTAAGTTGGCCGTTGGCGCACTGCAGCTGTTATGGATGGCATCTCCCAGCATTCCTGATCACCGAACGCACTGGCTGGAGTGCAAGCGCAAAACATCTGGAGGGCACCTGCGGAGGGAAGGCTGCCCTGAAGGCTTGGGGCATGGGTACCCAAGACCCACTTCCTTGCTCATGGACCCACCCCAGAATTGCATCCATTATCCCTTTCCACGTCTGCCTGCTTTGTGACGTTGGATAGGTGATGACCAGGGAGAGGCAGAGTCCTTTCAATTGTGAGAGCCAGTGTGGTGTGGTGGTTAAGAGCTGGGACTGGGACTCAGGCGATCTGGGTTCGAGTCCCCGCTCAGCCATGGAGCCAACTGGGGGACTCTGGGCCAGTCACAGACTCTCAGCCCAACCTACCTCACAGGGTTGTTGTTGTGGGGATAAGATGGAGGAGGAGAATGATGTAAGCTGCCATGAGCCCTTTGTAGGAAAAAGGCAG